CCTGTGGGTAGCGGCGTTTATTTGTTATTTATCTCCGGACGGTCGCAAAGCCATTCCTGTAGTATAAATTGTACAAAGTAGCATACAGAAAAAACAAGTTTCGACTTCACCATCTCAGAGAATTAGCGTTACGATCTCAGCGACCCGAGAAGTTCGAAAAGCGTCGAACTTAGCGAATTATAACCGATCCTAGCTTTGCCAATAGGCCTGACTCGTCGAGTGAATTATCTCCGCCATCGATTCATTTAGCTCCGGTGAGTCTCACATAGCGAGATAAAATTAAACAAGTCTTTCTAGCATTTTCTACTACCGTGGGCCCGGACCTACACTCGGTCCGTGGTTTGCGACTTTGTTTGCGATTTTCCGGAGATAAATACTCCGGAGCGTCCCTTAGTGTTTGTTTCAGGCGTCAAGGTTTTTGTTTTATTTTTCTAGGTCTTCCTACGGACTACCCTACGGCGTCTTACTCCTCCTTTCCCCCTCGAACTATTAAATACCCTTCAGTTGTCTCGGACCGCCTTCACCCATATCACGGGGTTTAGGTTTATTTCCTTTGGTCCTTGGTGATTGTTGTGTGTCAGTGCATATCAACGGCCCGTAATATCTCCCTCATGTTCGAGTACGTGAAGTCCGAGGACAATCTGGCAGATCCCATCTCTCGCAGTGAGTTGGGGCCCAATTCGCTTCATATTTGCTCATTGTTCGCTATACCTGGCGAACTTAGTCCGTATTTGTTTCATCATGAATAGTGCCATCTTTCAACTGGTGGTCGCTTGTGCCGCTGTGACCTCAAATCTGGATCCCGAACATCCCTCGATGGGGGGCTTTCGTTTCAGGACCTGTCGCACGGATTTGCAGGTCAAAAGAAAAACAGCCCAAAAACCCCGTCCTGACTGTCACATCAATCCATCTCCATATCGTCCTCTCGTCGCGGCTTCCGATAGACTTCGTTGCTGGTACACGCCCTTCACGGAGTCCCGAGATCAGCGACTATGCAATTCAGTAGACTCCTCTTCAGTTAATAAGCTCTTCAACACTCTCTTAGCATCTCTCGACATCTCCACTAGACAAGAGTACAGCTCTGGCCTGCTTCGCTTTGCTCAGTTCTGCGACAATCACAACATAGATGAAAATTCACGCATGCCGGCTTCAGAAGAATTATTATCAATATTTATTGCCGAACGTGCAGCGGGCCTTCGCAGTGACTCAGCGGCTCAAAATTGGCTCCAAGGCCTACACTATTGGCACAAGATAAATGGCGCACCATGGTATGGTAATGAACTACTCAAACAAACTCTCAAAGGGGTGCGCAAGATGGTTCCGGATTCTGTGAAGCGGGTCAAGAGACCGCCGGTGACGGTGGAGCATATGTGGGCACTCTGGCGGGGACTTGACTTACAGCGAGTTTCATAAATATGCAGAATCACCGCAACTTTTCTTTTGCCCACCTTGCACGAGGCCGGTCTCCTGAATGCCTTCGATGTCTATACGATCTTTATCCACTGATGTCATTAATCCCTCCCGATGACAGGGAAATGCCCAAGACTGCCTGAAGACTTGTAGTCCGAGACATCCGCGGGACGTATGATACGTCTCCCTGCCCCTTCAGGCAATTCCTCGCCCTAATCGGGCAACACTATGTCAACACGTGAAGCCATTTCATCAAGAGCAAAATTGAAGTGATTCTGCATATTTATGAAACTCGCTGTAATGAACTCGTTTGATGCCGCTGTGTGGGTGTGCGCCTGTACGGCCTTTCGTGGTTGCTGTCGGCTGGGGGAGTTAACAGTTCCCAGTAGAAACAGCTTCGATGCTATCAAGCACGTAGCGCGCGGTACCTCCATTCGTTGGCAAACGTTACCAGGGAATGTACGGTCCGTTCATTTTCACATACCATGGACCAAGACCACACAGCACGAGGGTGCGGACATATCACTCACTGCCCGGGGGACACTGATCCATGGTTTGCCATGCGCCAACATCTTCATGCCAACCGTAATGTTCCCACGACAGCCCCCTTATTTGCATTCGAAACGTCCGCTGGCTCGTGGGTGCACAAGGTCAAGGATTGGTTCCTTATTCACTGCCGCTCTATTTGGACGACAGCCGGATTACAGGACATCTTCGGGCACAGCTTCCGGATCGGTGGGACGAAGGAGATGCTACTAGAGGGCATATCACCGGAAGTGGTGACTGTGCAGGGCCGGTGGAAGTTGATGGCTTTCATGTTATATTGGCACAAGATAGAATCAATTCTCCCGCTTTTCGTATCACGTTCTTACACCCATTCTCAAGCTGCCAACAATGGACTAGAGCACTTCCGTGTATGCAATGGACTACCGGTCACTAATGTATAGCTTAACATATTGTACAATGCATTTGATATTGTCATGTAGGTCGAGTGTCCATCGCGAAGCTCTGGGTGGGGTAGTTTTCGCAAAAGGTCTCGAAAACCTTGCGTTAGAGCTTCGCTCTGGGTTGGAGGGTCAGTTTTTGAGACTGCAGTGTCTGACGGGAACTGTTCCAGCGCTCGGACTTCGGTTCTGTCCTCCTCGATGCGTCTCATCTCCGCAAATTCAGTCAGTTCGTTGTGTGCATCGAGGCCTGCCCTCAAGTGGTCACATGACCCAGCGGGACTCGGGCAGAACCAAAGTATCCCCCCAACCCACGAGAAATCATATACACATTGAGTGGGTTGGAACATTTGATTTCTCGTGTTTTCTATCTGCTTACAACTAGAGCGCACAAGAGGCAAGCTTACAGACTCGCACTCAAAACCCACTACCCAAGGTAGTGGGAATAATAGGCAGGGTCAGAGTGGCCGGTTCTGCACCGGTTCTGACGTCCGGTCCTGTGTCGGTCCTAGGACCCAAAACCGGCGCAGAACCGGACTGCACTCTGACCACATCGGTTTTGGTAGCCGGTTCTGACTTCGGTTTTCCATCATCGATAGTCATCTGTAGTCGACCAGTAGACTAGTAGTCTCTCTAGTTATCATACACTGTCCAGTCTACCGCTATGAACCGACTGCTTCCCCGCCTTGCCCGAGCAAAAAGACTCATACGGAGTTATATGAAGTATCAGAAGGCCAGAAAAGCTCACTATAAACGCCTCGCTAGACGTGCACTACTTCGTGCAGCGCCGAATGGTCAGAAAGTGACTGTGTCCAGCAATTCATCGGATTCTGGCAGCGCTCTGGACCTTTTCCTTGGAAATGAACTCTATAGTCTCTCGGAGGATAGTCCTGCATCGGATTCTGAGACAACTTCAGCCTCGGACAGCTGGAATGAGATCTTGGGAGAGGGCTGGCGCTATGACCGTCTCCAAGAAAACTCGTTGGGTTCAAGCTCATCTGATGACTCCAGTAGTATTCCATCTCTTGCTTCCTTGACATCGTCTGAGGACAGTGATGAGATGGACTTCCACTTCTCCAGCTCAGATGACTCCGGAATGGAAGGTGACGATGAAGACTCGGACGAGAACGATGACAATGAGCAGGGAGCACAACCACATCCTATGCCGCTTTCCCGCCTTGGCTGATACGTTCGGCATGCTATAGATGCCTTGTACGAACAGCGCTATGAACAACCACGCGACAAGCTTCCTCGGGCACCTGGCTTTCTTAGCCACGTCCTGGATGTCCTGAAGACAGCACGGCCTGACAAATTCCGTGAAAACTTACGTGTATCCCCTCACACTTCGACAGAATCGTAACTGCTCTTGAGAAAGACCCTGTATTTCACAATAACTCGGATAACGAACAAATGCATGTCGAGCAGCAGGTGGCTATCACGCTCTACCGATTCGGGCACGATGGCAATTCCGCTGGGTTGCAGCAGGTTGCTAATTGGTCAGGAGTTGCCAAAGGGACTGTGGGGCTTGTCACTCGATGTGTCATGACAGCAATCCTACGTCCGGATTTCATGGGGGAAGCAGTGCGTTATCCAACACCCGAGGAGAAGGAGGCAGCGAAACGCTGGGTTGAATCCCATTCGTGTCGAGCTTGGCGTGATGGCTGGTGCCTGGTGGACGGCACGCTTGTCCCACTCTTCGAGCGGCCATACTGGTTCGGAGAGAGTTATTTTGATCGGAAGAGTAATTACTCTCTGAACATCCAGGTATGTTAGATTTGCTGTTAATAAACGTACTGCTACTCACCTGTTGAAGATCGTTTCCTTGCCGAACCTGCAGATCATTGACTTCGGATACGGTTACACTGGCAGCACACACGACTCGACCGCATGGGAAGCGACACGTATTGCGCAGGAGCATGACTCAGTATTTGAGGAGGATGAGTTTATATGGGCCGATTCTGCCTATCCGGTTCGTCTGTCACTACCACCTTGCTTGTGAAGGATCTAAAACCTGAATAGATAAAGACCTGGGTTGTTGCACCCTATAAACGGCCAGAACGAGATATCCCCGAGAACGAAGAGTTCAACAAACACGTATCCATGGTGCGGATACGGTCAGAACATGCCATTGGCTATCTCAAAGGTCGTTTTCACTCCCTTAAGGGATTACGTGTCAGCATCAGTGATGAGGCATCTCACAAGTTTGCAACTTACTGGGTAGTGGCATGCATTGGTCTGCATGCCTTTGCTCTCAGATCAGAGCAGGAGGAGCGAGCCTGTGACGATGAAGTTGAGCAGGACCCGTTTATCGCAGAGGGCCTGTCGTCATCATCAGATTCCGAGGCAAATGCCTTGCGCACCCCGCAGCGGAGAGGTGGAACACGTTTACAGGCTGCAAAAGCTCGTCGTGAAGAACTGAAGGGTGCTCTATTTCGTGCAAAAGACAAGCGGGCTCGACAGCGGGCTCGACGAGACAGAGACTAGTTACTTGACATGAAAGATATAAGGTAAACTAGAGAACATAGCATAACCTGCAATTACCCTAGACCTACATTTCATATTACTAGTAAAATAAATTTCATAAAGAAATATTTTACCACAATCCGAGTCACATCCACTAGAATAACGCCGAATGCATCCTGTTCTCGTTTTGCTGTTCCCCTGTAAACGGATCCTCAGAACTTGAGCGGCCGAAAGCGGCATCCATTGAGGCAGACGCCAGCTCATAGCCATCAGAGGAGTAAGGTGTACTTGCACGAGTAGAAGCAAGCGCAAAACCCTGATGGTTCTGCGGACCGACACCAGCCTGACCACCACCCATCATGAGTGTGTCGAACGAGAGACCACCCAAGCTGGGAGACACTGATGTTGTCGAGGCCGGATGGGTGATCCCAGGCTGGAAGAGCGGCGCAGGACCTGGCACACGAGCGTACTTCATCATCTTCCGCTGATGCTCCTGCTCCATCCTCAGTCGAGCCAAGTCCCCCTTGATCTTGGTCTTCTCTTTCCGGAGCTCCAGATTTGCCTTTGTCTTTTCAAGACTAAGCTTCGTCTGTTCAATCTGCAGCTCAAGCTCACGCTGACAAGTAAGCTCCTCGGCCTTCGCGACCTCTTGGAAATCGGGCTTGAACTTCTTGTTTTGTACGGCAGGTGCAGGTGCAGGTACGGAAGTACCTGGACGTGCCGGCGTCTTCTTCTTCTCCCTACGCGAGGCAGCCTTCTCGCGCACAGCTTTGGACATGTTGCCAGACTTCTTGGACTCGCTCTCGCCGGACTCGCCATCCGCGTCTTCGGCCTCATCGCGTTCACTGTCAGACGGCACTGCAGCGGAGTTCCCATCAAGATCAATGGTAGATGCTGAATTGCCGAGTCCCGTCGGAGTCAGATTGGGACGCTGACCGATCAGGGCCTTCATGTCCCAGTACCACGGACACTCGCTCTCATGCAGCTCTGCAACGCGCCCTTATGAGGTGTGCGACGATGTGAACAGTTTGAAGATGTACGTACGCCACTTGTTAGCTTGCTCCGATTCTTCCCACAAGTCATCCTTCCGCTCGATGCCTTCACCTGTTTCTCCCATCTGATCTCTGATCTCTCGCACCTGCGTAGCCATCTTCCTCAGCCGATTCTTGATCTTATCACCCCATAGGGTGCGATCCTTGGTTGAGGTGGCGCTTCCCCGGTTGACTCGAGCAAAATGGTCCCGATAGTCCTCGTGCTCGGAGAAGAGAGCTACGCATAGCACCCAGTAGTGGTCGGCCTTAGGCTTACCACCGCCTTGGCTGGTCGAGATGTTAGCACCCGGAGCTGGGAAAAGACCCTGCCTGATCTCGGAGTCATCGGTGATGGCGGTGATGAGTGACCAAGTAAGCTTATGGTTCTCGTCTTCCCATCTAACCTAGCTGATCAGATTCGATAGCGGCGAGACGAGTTCTTCTCAGGCATACCTGATCTTGAGCTTTGACGATGCCTCGTCTTCGGGTGCATCTTCCTCGGCCTCAGCAGGTTTCTTGGGTTTCCGTGGATTCCCGTTCTTTTTCTTCTTTTCCTTGACAGGTTTCTTGGCGCCTTCACCTGCACTACTGGTAGGCTCGGTTGCTGGTTTACGCTTCCGACCCGCCATGGACAGCTGGACAGCAGTACGTAGCACCGGAGAGGAGTCGACCGTTGTAGCGTATAGTGACACCGATGCCGTCTAGTTGCGGTAAATTTAGTCTGGGCTACTGTATATGGAGTTTGTAGTTGTTATTCGAGCTTGTGTAACATATTTGAATTGAGACTACAAAACAATTGAATACAGACTACAATTGACTACAAAGTGACTATAAACGACTATAAACAGACTACAAACTGACACGCGCGGGAGTTGGTTCTGGTGTGCAGTTACGGCTCTGGAGCCGTAACTACAATCCGGTCGGTTCTGGAGAACCGACGATTCTGTGCCCCCAGGACCGACCTCAGGACCGAGTGTCAGAACCGGCCGAGAACCGGCCACTCTGACCCCCACTAATTCTAAGTCCGCGCCGTGTAGCCGTGTGCCACTGGAGCGAAACATGGCACACCGGTAGTTGCCGGTTGGTCAAAAAGTGCGACGTATTGCGGGTTTGGCATAACCCCTCTCAAAGGAGGGGCATTTATGGTGGCTGAGGGCCTGGGCAGCTGGGTACAACTATTATTTCGTGCCTGTGGTACACTAACCAGGATCTAAGTGGCCGTAGTGGGCTCTATAATGTATCTTAACGCCAATGCTAATCTTTTGCATGCAGAGCAGAGCCCATAACCCGCTTTCAAACAGTTTAGCAGGTTCATATTGGTGTAGTTGCGGCAAATGGGAAATGG